GGGCCCAAAATGCAGTTGGCTAGTTTGTGGTCAGTGTGTCATGCCTTCCTTCCTTCCTTCCTTCCTTCCTTTCGTGATCTTCTAACAATATATCAGGACTTGGTTGTCTTTCTATGTGAAAAATCAAATACTCTGCCATTTAACTTTTGCCCTTTTCCAAAAGCAGCTGAGCTTGAAGTAATACAGTTTATAGATGAACCAGGAAGAGAAAATGTGGAAATTGGAATTAATGACATCTTTCTCATGATAATTTACAAATAGAATCAGATTGTAATCTTTCTCAGATTTTTTTTAACCACCTGCTATGCATCATATGGTCTTTCTGAAATGAATCTCACAGCATTTGGAATTGGTGCTCAAAGCAGGGGCTATAGAATTTAACACAATGAAATATGGATCAACTCCTGGAAGGAGTTCATTGATCTGCTAAGCACTCTCAGTGTTTTGCAATTGGTTATCTGCTTTATCTCAGAGCCGTAAAGCCCTTTCCCATTTTCACAAGATGCTGAGCCATTTATAAATTTGATCTCATGGTATCTAAAAATGATAAAGAACGTTGGATTGACTGAATACATCACAACATTCATGTTAAAGTTGGGAACATCACCCTGGAATACCAAGAAACTGCAACCTGGCAATTCCTAATCTTGAAATAGTGCCCAGGGATGTATTCATTACTTGTAACACAATGGTAGAGAGAAATATATCTTCAATGCTGTGCGCCTTATCTATTTTAGGAGCGGAAACTATGTGCCCATCCTAGACTGGAGATCTACAAAGGAGATAAAATCTATTTTATATGCCCCCTTGCACGTCAAGGGGACTTCTACGTGCCTGAAATGAAAGAGTTGGAGAAGAAAAACAGAGCAGCAGCAGCAGCAATAGAAACCGATGATGATCAAACAGATATTACAGGTACCTGTGAATTATAAATTTTATGCTGCTTTGAAGTACCAAAGGAAAGCTCCTTTGCTGTTGCTAATAACATAGTATACAGTACATTTGAGAATATAAACAATTCATTTTGTAGATATGCAGGGATCTGCTTTATAGCAACGTAGGTTTATCTAAGCTAGCATTTTTATTCTAACTGAAAGTAGGTCTATAGAACCTTGGACAGAGGTCTTTCCTATTATTTTTACCCTTTCAATAAGAGATTCAAGAAAAGGACCTCCTACATTTCTTATATCATGAGCCACTCCAATAATGTTTATACTAAGATAATGGCATTTACCTTTTCCAAAGTAGATGCATAGTTCAGGCTAGAGTTCCTTCCTTTTTGGGGATGGAGGTGTAGCATCATGCTATGCAAAATAGTCTTAGTATACCAGGTAAGGATATTTGATTATCATGTCAAGAATGTGAATCAGATTTCTTACTTGCATAAAATTCCTACTCACAAAATCCAATTCTCTCTAATAATTGTCAGAAATGATATATACTGATTTATACATTGTTGCCCTATGTATTATTTACTTCATGCATGCTTTCTCTAAACAAAGATTCCAAAATGTTGTAATAGCATGTGTACCTGTGTCACCAGAATCTTTCCCCATTTTGGCTATTCTGCTGCTTACTGCAGTTCAAACCCTTGCAATATTGAAGTGCAATAGCTACATCACCTTGGTGTCCTCTTTTAAACTGTTAATTGAATTGAGTGAATCCTAAAGACCTAAAGGATAGTTCTTCTTTTGTCATTACTAATTTCTTCCTCCTTATTTTGATGGGAGCTGTACCTGTTTCTCATCCTCATGGATTGCCTTAATATCAAAGAACACTCACAAACAATGTGTCATGCTGCCACAACAATCATGGGATAAAAGTGAGCAAGCCATGCTTATTATGCCAGCAGAAAAAAAAAGGGAGGTACTGTTAGAGTTGCTTAATTTCACTGTGTTCTCAGGGTAACGTTGTCATTCTTCAAAGCTGATCAATACAAATATATTTTGTACTACAGGTCAGTGAATCTCTCTTTTCTTTTTAACATGCCCTTTGCCTCAGGGCTCCATAGCTAAGTAGTGAAGTTTGTGCTCTGAACACAGAAGGTCCAGATTTAATTCTTGGTGTACCAAGAATATTTGGAAAGGAGTTTTGTTTGAAACCCTTGTGAGTTGCTGCCAGTCAGCATAAACTAAGTTAATTAAACCCATGTCTGATGAGGTCTTCTTTGTTTGTAAATTGAAGCACTTACTTAACTTTTGCCTGAATGGCTTCCTCAAACTTTCACCAAAGTTTTGTTTGTTAGCTGTTTTATGGCATTTATGAAATTGTCACAGATATCCATCACTGGCTTTGAACCTTAGATTTGTGTGCTATGCTGTTGTTTTAGTTGGTGATCTTATTTCAACTCTGCGTGCATTAAGACCACATGAGGATTGTTGAATGTGCTACTTCATCACTGCTTCACTGAGTGCTGTTTCCTGTGCTATTTTCATATTTACTTGCCCAATTTCAGTTTTACTGCTAACATTTTAGTTGCACTGCAATTCACATTTCTTCAGGTTTTATAAATATTTAACACTGTTGGTGTTATTATAGCATAATCTTCACAAACACATACAATGGATACCTCTGAGTAATTTTTCAATCAAATCTAATATTTACTTTTTGCTCAAATTTACTTTCTTTTTCTGTCCACTCTTGAGACCTTCAAAACCATTGTAGAGTAATTACAAAAATCAATAATCCAAGATCCTTTTCCATCCACCTCAGAAGCCTTTGAAACCATAGTAGAGAATGTATTGTAATTACACTAGTGCTCTGAGATCAACAAAATTTCAATATGCCAAGATTACCAACAGAAAGAGATACAGTACTGTATATGTAAAGAAGAAATATTGCTAGTGCATGGGCAGAAACAACCATTGACTTGAATTGCTTTGGAAACAGTGGGCTTTATCCCTTATTTGGAGTAAAATATAGGCTCGCATTTTATTCACAACATCTGAAGTAAGTTGAGGGGGGGGCTGTAAAGTCATGATTTCAATCAAACTGCCTGTTTAGCTCCAAAAAATAATATATACCATTAAATCTATGAAAACAAAAACTCCCACTCCACGTGGTTATGCCATTAAGTGGCATAAGATATATATTGCATTCTTTGCCGCAATACAATTGGAAGGCTGTAATGATGCCTATGTAAATTTTTCCTGTCTCCTTCATTTAGACTTACATAATTGCAGTTTTGAAGACTGGTAAATATCCTGCTGACTGTGCAATCTATCATCCCATTTCCTTGTTAAACAGCGATGCAAAAATACTGACAGGAACACAAGCACATAGATTCCTGACAATATTATGTATGATGTTCATCCTGCACAATCTGGTTTTAGGTTGCCAAGCATCTGATAACATAGATTACAATTGACATTCTGGTTATACATTCACAAAAAATGTAATTAGCAGTAGGTTCATTGGTTGTTTACTGGACACTGCAGCTGGTCCAAAATGCAACAGCGTGGGTGGTTTTTGGCATTTCTTGTTATGCCCATGTAACACTGCTGTTCCACAAGCTGTGTTGGCTCCTAGTAGGCTTCCAGGTGCAATTCAAGGTGCTGGTCAACACCTATAAAGCCCTCCATAGCAAAGGGCCAGGCTGCTTGCAGGAACAAGTTTCTCTTTTCTGCCTGCCCTACCAAATCTATTAGAAAGGATTCTATTAAACAATGTCATCTTGTTGGACTCTGGAGTCATGCCTTCTTGGTGGCAGCACCTGCTCTATGGAACAGCATCTCGCCCCCCCCCCCCTCCAATTTGGATGGCTCCAATCCTGCTAGCAAGGCATTGAAGACCTGGCTGTTTCCCTAGGCATTGGGTCAGGGGGTAGATGGGTTCTGCTACTATTGATTATGAGTGAGGTCAACAGTTTATCTTTGAGCGCTGGGGGGTTATGTTTGGTGGGTTTATCTGTTTTAATCTTGTAAACCACCAGAGTCACTTATGTGAGATGGGCAACTATATAAATCATGGATGGATGGATGGATGGATGGATGGATGGATGGATGGAT